TAAAAATTTACATGTGAACACGTATATATGGACATATATACACGTATAATTTCCGCACAACACCTAGTGAATGGCTCCAATGACCGAATATATATTTATTAGTTTAGAAAATATTATCTAACTAATAAATCACACTTTATTTTTCACAGATATGTATATATGTTCTTTTTCGATTACAACTGACTATCGGTCGAAACTAAACTCAACTGAAAGAAATTCAGTATCATTGTTGCTTTTCTCACTGTGTTTTTGATGTTTTCAAATAACATGTAAATATATTAACGTACTGAATATATGCATACACTGAATGTATCTGCAATATGAGTGTATATGTCTATGACGCAAGCATAATAAAAACTATAATACTAAGCATAATAACTGCATTGTAATAATCAAAGCTCAACTCGTTTTCACAACGCTGTTTTATGACAAAGATGAGAAATTGCACTTTAAGTTTTTTGCGAATCATGTTTTTTTAAGTTTTTTAAAAAGCTAATCGCGATCCTCGGGAGCAAAATAAGGACCTCCGCACAAACTCTTTCTTAACGCGTTACGTTACGTTAAGTACTAGTTTGTGCGTTGAATAAAGTTCAAGTTTACATACTAATCTAAGTTTATGACTAGTAAATAACGTTACGTTACGTTAAATATTAGTTTGTGCGTTGAATGACGTTCAAGTTTACGTACAAATCTAAGTTCATAGCCAACTTAACGTAACGTAACGCGTTAAGAAAGAGTTTGTGCGGAGGCCCTAAGTCATAGGTAGAATAAGTTAAAGTGAAAAAAATTTAGTTCACAAAAATTCAGAAAAATTTAATGTGAAAGCTCAGCTATAGCCTAATATTTACTGACAAGAGAAACAATACCCGCTACTTCGAATTATTTTACACTTCTGAAAAGTGAAGAACTTAACAGTACATATATACATGTATGTACATATGTGTATATATAATATATATATACATATATATATACACACATATATATGTATACGTATATATCGACGTGCTTTCGAAAGAGCGCCGAGAGGTCGGCGTCCGCATTTACCCTACTGTAACGCAGATTGCATAGCGCGCGGAGTGCGTTGTGGAACGCTACGAAAAAGTGCATTCACAGCGCGAAAAAACACGAATCATCTTCGCCGCTCTTGTCATCGCGTGCGAACGCGAAATTTACACGGCTGTCGGAAAGAAAAAGCGAAATTGTGGATAAAAACTAATCGGATGAACAGAGCGCGCGCCAAGTGAACTTCTTACCTAGCGTTGACGGAGCTGACGACGATCCAGGGGACTCGCTGATTCGACCAGTGGCGAAATGGTTGCTTAGTTTGCGAGGTCTCTCGCGTGAGTTCGTTGTGCTGACACGGTGATGATCGAGTGACGGCGGCAAATTGCGGAGAAATTCTTGTGCTCAGCTCACTCTTCCATCGAAGTAGAAATCCAAACACGAACTGATAACAGTATTGGACTTAAAAAAAGGTATATATGCGCGTGACCGACGTTGGCAGTAACCGCACGAAGACAGTAGTCAATAATCATTGTCGCATCGCTCGTAGGGGTATCATTGCTCACCTATCCTTCGAAAGAGGAGGTTAGGTTTAGTCACACGAAGACCTGACGTTGACTCAACAGTTTTCTCTGTGGCGCGGAGCGTCACCGTACGCTAGGGACTTCGTTGGCGCTGCACTCGTACGCGCACTCGTGCGATACAACAACGGGTTGAACAGCTGATGCACCACCGACACCGGCGAAATGTCAAAATCCGGACAATTTGTAAGTAACTAACCGCTTTTCGCGACGACACGACCGACGGCTGGCGATCTTGTGACGAATGTAATTCCGCTGTGATCGCTTGTACTTCTTGATCGTGTAAATTCGCGTCGCACCTCACTTACGAAATATGCAGTGCGACGCGTGTGAATCGCGGTTCCACGCGGCTGCATCGTAATGCAACTGCAAAAAGTTCCCAAGATACAATCGAAGGCTGTTTTGGCATTTCTCGATATTATCCGACTTCCATGTATATTTATAAATTATTCGTGAATTATTTGTACAATTCAATCGATCGCTGAACGATGATTATTTAATGTCGAATGTATACAGTATTCTACAATATCTCTTTTTGTAATTTCATAACTTCACAAATATTCATAGTTAATTATATAACTTTTGCAGAAAAAATTAAGCAATTAAACAACATTTTATTTACATGATAATGTTAGTGTGTGTGATTAAGATGATTATTACAAAATTATATTTAGTGTAGAAATGTTTCTGTTATGTACAAATCAAGAAAAATACTTATGAGTTGTTTAATATTTTGTTATAAATAAATGTACAATGTTTTGATACTAAATACATTTGCTTGTTATGTTATTATGGTCTGTTTATCTGTAGATTCTACGTGTGCAGTCATCAGAGGGAACAAAACGTATAGAAGTGGAATCTTCTGATACACTTTCTCGTCTTTACGAAAAGGTATAGATATGTACTATCTTTATAAATCATATTAAGACAACATATTTGACATTTGTTCTTATGTTTAGGTGTACGAGGCTTTTGATTTAAGTAATTTTGGATTTTGTCTCTGTAAACAACGAAATCAGAAGGAACCGCTTACATCTACCCGAAGTAGAACAATATCCGGGATCGGTCTCAATCATGGAGATATGCTTTATCTTGTGCCAGTTAATGGCACTCAATTATGGAGTGCTCCATCGACCAGCAGTGCCTCCAACAATTCTACAGGTACTCACATATTTCATTTGTGTAATTATATTTTTTTCTTACACTCATAAAAAAGAAAAAATTTGTGTATTTATATTGCTATATATATATGTATATATGTTGAAAAATAATACAGAACCAATACCCATGGATACTGCTAATGGAATTACAAACCGCGTATCCAGTCTCTCACGATCTCTGCCAAGTGTAGTCGAAGACGATGTTGACGAACAATTGTGGAAGTTGGACGGGAAAATTCAGCGCAAACGCGACGAGAAACTGTAAGTAATTTGAGAAATTTAGAAAAACAGCATTGACATGAAATAGAATAAAATTTATTATTGTAGCTGTCGACACGGCGCAAGAGGATGCTGTGTGCACTGTTCACCTCTAGAGCCTTTTGACGAACTTTATTTGAAAGAACAAAATATTAAGCATCTATCATATCATTCGTATCTCAGGAAACTCACTGCCGGAGTTGATAGGTATGTATAAACATTTATCATAAACATTTTATGACGGAATGTTCGATATTATATAGTATTATATCTTACCTGTATTTATATCACAGGGGCAAGTTTATCCAATTAGATGACATAAGCTGCCGTATAAAGACTGGCTGCAAGGATCATCCGCCGTGGCCAAAGGGCATTTGCAGCAAGTGCCAACCAAACTCGATTACTCTAAACCGTCAGACTTATCGGCATATAGACAACGTTATGTTTGAAAATGCTAGTTTAGTAGAACGTTTTCTTAATTACTGGCGTAGTACGGGGCATCAGCGTATCGGCTATCTGTATGGAAGATATGAAGTGCATTCAGATGTTCCCTTAGGCATTAGAGCTGTTGTTGCGGCTATATATGAACCACCGCAGGTAAGCAGTACAATGAGATGTTTCTAAATATTTTTAATATACAATCATCGAGATAAAACGTTTGCGTTGATTGATCAGGATAGTACAAAAGATACCATAAGACTTCTGCCGGATGAAAGGGAAGCGTTAGTCGAGGAATTAGGCCGGGCACTTAATTTGAGAAGAGTCGGGTGGATTTTCACTGATCTCATAGCCGATGATGTCAAAAAAGGAACGGTATGTTGACACATTTTATTTCTTACGTAATTTATTCATACACCGACTCTCTTTATATGTACGGTTATTTACTTCGTTAGTTTTATTCATTCGCAGGTTAAACACGTTCGCAACATAGAAAGCCACTTTTTATCTGCTCAAGAATGCATTATGGCTGGATACTTCCAAAACCGGTATCCTAACCCCTGTCGCTTTTCGCCTAATGGTTATTTCGGCTCAAAATTTGTAACAGTTTGCGTCACAGGCAAGTTAATCTTATTTTACAGCGTATATGTGGTTTTCTGTTTCAAAAATAATAAAGCTCCCACTTCAGTCATATTTGAATTATCGTGTTTAGAAACGAGAAATTTTTGTCTTGCAACTTACATCAAAATAAACTAGTTTTTATTATAAGTTACAACTAGTCTTCTAAAGCATAAATTGATAAAATCCGTCAAAAAAAAAAAAAAAAAAAAAAACATTTTTTCTGCATTGATAAATGTAAATATATAAAAGAAGTTTTAAGTGAATTTTATTAATTTATGGCTTTAAATATATTAATGATAGCAGAAAAACAAATTTAATTTTGATATGAGTTGCACTCATATAAAAAAAAAAATCTCATATAGATTTCTCGCTTCTGGTATAATTCAATATGGCTGAAGTGAGTACTCTCCGAAGCTTTAAAATGGCTGCAGTGAGTATCGAATTCTTCTTAAGTCGCTTGAAAAACTCAAGTTGTTTTAATAATAACATATGTAAAACCAAATAAAGCCTTTTCGATCAATCTAATTAATACATTAATAATAATACATGGTTTTTTTTACAAAATTTTCACAGTACCAATATCATACAGAATTGTGATAATTAGATGATTTTTTTCTGCGAACTGTTAGGCGATGACAAAAACCAAGTACATATGGAAGGCTATCAAGTGTCCAATCAATGCATGGCGTTGGTACGAGACGGCTGTTTGGTTCCTACAAAAGACGCACCGGAATTGGGTTATGTAATCGAGTCAAGTGATAAACAATACGTTCCGGATGTCTTTTATAAGGTAAGAGTTTAACTGTATGTATGTATATATATATTGATTTTATTTTCCCTTGGATCATGGTTTTTTTTTTCTTTTTAATCACTTCGATCTGTATACATGTATATCAAACAAATGTTTCAAATTTTCTCGTATCTCTAACGTAGCTTAATATTTGTTGGAAATTGTTGCCATGTTTTTGGTCGCGTAACTTAAGATGTAGATGTGAGTTAGGTATACGCAAAAATTATACAAAAACTACTCACATGAAAGAAGAAACAGTTTATAACTCAAAAATCTCAAAATCGATCGATTAAAAAGTACATTTAAGTTGAGGAGGGGGGGGGGCAATGAACGTTCATTCTCTTCGCACATGAATAATGAAATAATAAAATCCGTTCGAACAACGGCTCTTTCTGGTGTAATTACCGTGAGCCTGAAAAAACAAAAGATCACGATCAGCTCTTGCTTTCTCAATAATCATTGCGTCATAAAAAGAAAATAAGAGAAAGGGACAAAACGGAAGTAAGAAATAAGGAATAGAAAAAAAAGGGACGATATGGCGAGGTAGGAAGATGAGGAAAGAACTTGTCCAAGTGCTTTTACAGCCGCTCAATTTCGTTTAATCGCACGCGAGGGGCAAGGTAAATCGGTCGGTCGTTAGAATCGATATTACAAGCTATGCGTTGTTACCTCATCACGTTCATAAAAATATATAATAGTGTATATATATATATTTTTGTATAGATACGCGCAATAGGTATCTGTGTGTACGTGTATGTTTGTTTGTTGTGTGTGTGTGTGTGTGTATATATATATATATATATTAGGTATTCTTCCATATATTATATATATGCACACATTATAGGTGGGCTCGTCGCTCCCATGCTTCGGTCCAATATGTTTTTGTCTCACACGATTGCGTCTATGATCGAGGATTTACGTACTACTTTACACACTTTGTCGGAGTCTTCGTCGCTCGCGGAATTGAAACAGAAAGTATTTCGCGTTCATTCATTCATCGGTTCGAACACACAGCCACAGCCCCTCATTCCGATCGTCGTCTTGCATACGATATTGTACATGTACAGGAGCGAGTTTTCATTTATTTCTAAGGGATGATGCGCAACACACAGCGCGTTCCGTGTTGCCGTCAATCATCGCGACGCACAAACCGCGCGATGCCGAGATCGCGAAAGACGTGTTTTTTTTTGTTTTTTTGTTTTTTTTTTGTTTTTTTTATCAGCTAATTAACAAGTGTTAAAACTTTCAAGTTCAACATCAAATGAGGCTTTTCTTCTGAAGGCATGTCCGCGATGACGCAAGGGCGTGTAATTTTTTTTGTTTTTTTTTTGTTTTTTTTGTTTTTTTTTTTTTTTTATTTATGTTATATTACGGTACCGCGTGAGTGTGCCTTTGTCTTGTACGCGCGTGGAAATTACGCGCGCGCGTGTACACAAAGAAGAGATGCGCATCTGCTCTCGTGTACACGCGCGCGCGCGCGACAGTATATATTGTACCAGTACACAACGTATGGGACTTAATTACGAGGATTTCAGACAAGTAATTATAACGCAATTACATTATCTTGATAATAGTTCGATATACAGCATCGAGGAATGATTTCGTTTAGTATATATATATATATATATATATATATATACGTGTTTTTTATATATATATATCCGTACATATCTTTTTTTTTCTTCTTTCGTTTATTTTTTCGATCGGACGAAAACGAGGCTTACGATCTACATAGTAGTAGTTAGGCCTTGCATACATTTGCGATTTGTATTGAGATCTAATCTTACAATATAGTTTATATAATTCACAACGGTTCGCTATAATTCGCAAAAGAACAAAAAGGGAATAGGTATTTTTGCTGTAAGAATTCGAACAGCAAAACTTCGCAAGATCCTTTTTTCGTAGGACGCGCGTGCGTGATGAATCGTCTTTCTATTTTTCCCTTTTAGCTCTTTTTTTTCCCTCTGGTATCCCTGGAACGGAACGACACGCGAGATTGCCGTGTCCGACAAAACCATAAAAATTGCCCTCCTACAATATTAACTACGCCGATATCTTTTCTTTTGCTTTTTTCGGCTAAGATTCTAAACGAGAAATCTGCATGTATTTAATCGCTACTTTTTACCACGAAATATCGTGAGATCGCTCGTTCAGGAGAAAAAAAAAAAAAAAAAAAAAAAAAAAAAAAAAAAAAAAAAAAAAAAAAAAAAAAACTGAAAGAATCAAATGTTCGCTCATACACAATAGGAATACCCTCTTCATTTCTTTAACGAATACATCGCGTATATCAAATACGCGATATACGATTGGTTAAACCCAAATAGTTCGATACACTTAGTCCTCACGTGTTTTTAAATCTACACGTGTTTTTTTTTTCTTTTTATTCACTATCTACGATCTAAAACATTAGCTGCGCCTGTGACCGGGCGGGCAACTCTGCCGGAGAACTCACGAGTCAAATCGTTTCCTTTATGTAGAATCACGCCCGATGCACGACACACGCTCTATATGACCTATAACGTAGTAGCAGAATTAACGCCCCGATATAATAGCCAAAATAAACGCCGGATCTCTCTCTTTTTTTCGTATTCTCTCTCTCTCTCTCTCTCTCTCTCTCTCTCTCTCTCTCTCTAAAAAACAAATACGTCATATCAACTATATAGAGAAAGTCATATCGATATCACGATCGATCTCTGAGGTACGTATGTATGTGTCAATCATCGTCGTTATTGTTTAGCAGAATCTTATATTTAGATTCCCGGTCAATATAGCAAAATATGGATTTTTTTTTTTTTTTATTTCTTCTCGCACGCGCCCACGTTTTAAAAATAGATTCGACATCTTTAGACGCTATTGTTAATAGTTAATTAAGTTGCGTGATTCGTACGGAACATTCGAGGATTTCGTGGAGCTAATAAATCGAATCGCGATGGCGTCCCCGGATATATAAGACATACGCGCAGCGATATACGTTAACAACGATTAATTGTATCGAACAATTATTTTTTAACGCAATTATTATTATTATTATTATTATTTTTGTATTTCTTTTTTTACGTATAGGATTTTCTTGCGCGATCAAGAGCGCAATTCGGGGATACCGTCACGACTTTTCTTCGGTTATCTAGAGCGGGAGAACATGTGTTTGTGTTTGTGTGTGTATGTGTACGGCGTTATACAATATAAAGGATGTACTCATCTACCGGAGCTCCATCCCATGCTGCAACAAACCGCGCGATAGCGACGACAGCATAAACGTTACAATTTACCGCACTTCGTGATTAGAATATTCTTGGTAGGCTTGCCGGTCTGATCACCGAACGTAGATATCTTCTCCACCAGCTCCAATCCCTCAACCACATGACCGAAGATACCGGTGAATCCGCGCATTTCCTGTAGTATTATGCGAAATTGCGAGCCGACCATACCGAGGTTATCATGGCGTTTCTGCGTTCGTCTCATGCCAACAGCACCCCTAACCGCTGGGAACTTGGTGTCATCGGGCATAAAATAACCGTCTTCGAATATGCTGCGACCTCCGCGGCCGTTGTTAAGTTCAAAGTCGCCTGTGATCACAGACTCACCCTCCCAGCACTGAAATATTGTACAGCCCTTGTAGCCGACACCAGCCTCCCCCGTCGACAGCACGCTAAAATTCTTCGCCATCTTTGGCGCCGCGTCCGGTCTCACCTCGATCACGATGCGGCCGTGCGGCGAGCCGTTTACTTCAATATTGAAATAATACAGAGGATACGGATTTGTCGGGCCGCGCGTTAGTGTCGCCGTGATCGCATTGGACGGCGGTTGGGGAGACGAGTGGACGGTCACCAGGCTGCCACCGCCGGCGCCGCCAGTACCAACTGCGTCCGGCATAAATGTCGACTGTTGCTGTGGGTGCAGCATGGCATTGGGCGGTGTAGGCGGTACGGGTTTAACGGACGGCGAGCCGGGTGGAATGAGGAGCTGTTGTGGAGCTTGGTTTGGTCCCGGCGGCGGTGGCGGCGGACCTTGGTGAACGTGTACGGATCCTGGCGGCGCCTGTTGCGGTGGCGCCATTATACTCGAATGGTGATATTCCATCGTGCCATTCTGCATGTGTTGTTGTTTGCTGACAACGTGGCGCGTGTACAGCTGCGACATGCAGTAATTTGCAAGGAATAGTATCGGATTTTGTGAGGCCGCTAGGTGATTCGGTAAGCGACCGCCGTTGCCAACTCCCTGAGAGACGATCGGATCCCCCGTATGTATGCCCGCCAGCGCTTGTTTCAGCAGAGCAAAATCAAAGATCACACCAGAATTGCCGATGAGATCATCTAGCTGGCATTGTAGCAGCATTTCCTGATATTTTGACTGCAGCCTCTGTTTCTCGAGAACAAGCTGCGAATGCAGACTGTACACATCGCCCGGGGTCTCGCTCATCTGCAGACCAGCCTTTGTTTTTCCCAAAGTCTCGCGAGCATCTGTTAGTTCTGGAAAATGACTCCAACCGTTTTGCAAATCTGTCTCTACGTGTGTCTTCAGCGTCACGCAAGCCTCCAGTACTTTTATGAGAAATTCACGTTGCTGCATAGCCAGTCTTTGAATTTCCGTGGACAGTTTACCTACGGCGACTAATTCCAATTGAACCTACAAAATAATCGCAACATATTTTTTCACTGTTAAGCTCTCACGAACTGCTTCTTCCAAGCTTCCAAAGAAGAAACAAAAAACAATCGACTTACGTCGGATATGAGCTGTTCTTTGGCATCGGTTTGCGATTTGATCTGATGACCCGGATGCTCTTGCGGCGTAGCGCACGCTCTACAAAGCGCCGTGCAACACGTCGCACACCATAATGCCAACGGCATTCCGTGCGTGTGACAATTCTCGCTCTGTGAAAATATTAGAGAAAATTTTTTATTGATCCGCTTCACGGTCTTCCCACTCTATCATATCTTTCTATATAAAATGTTACAAGTAACGAATTTCTTACTTGTGTTAATTCTCGCTTAGTTTGATTAAAGAAAAAATGCATGATAATCACAAAATTACCGCGAACATGAGAATGACTCTGACTGTATCTTGAACGAGAGAAAGAATAACGATTAGTTCTTACAACATCATCCTATTACTGCTGGGAACTCTTCTCTCGCAGTATGGCTTCGCACTCGCTACGCGTTTCCTCCAACGCGTGTGCACGCGTACGCATCGTGCATTTCGAATTTCAACTGGAACTATTCCGTTCTTTTTCGTATCTATTGTTATACGTGACATATTCTACGCGGCAACGCGCGGTGTTCTCGGTTAATCTTCTCACGAGTAAATTCGAACTGTTCTTTGAAAAGATCGTTATTGATCGTTCTTGAACTGTAATTCTTATTTTGACGTGGTGTGACCTTTGGTATGCTAAATTACGCGCGCCAATTAATTCAGTATTATCATGAAAACATTAAAAAAAACTTGTATCGAATCAGATAAAATATGAATCAGAAATCAAATATTGAAAAATTTAACATCAAATCTGTAATTACGCGCGCGCCATTTGCCTTTGTTTCTATTTGACACCTGCAGTTTACACGGTTAAACACTTTATTTTACACACACACACACACACACACATACAGACTAGATATAAAAACTGGTGGAAACATTTAAACAATCGACGATTGAGAGATCGGTGTTTACCTTTCTCTCCTTATCGCCCGGCTTGCTAGATGTGTTATTTGTGATCTTGAGACGCGACAAACTGCTGACCAGAGCTAGAAGAGGTGAGTTGGTCGGTAAAGCATCCGGACCCTGATCTCCAAGATCCGTCTTCTTCCAGCAGTGCGCGCAGAATAAGTCACGTCCCTTCAACAGATTATTCTCGATGCAACGCAGGCAGAAATAGTGCTTGCAGCTGAGAAATTTAGGACATTGCTCCGTTTCATTGTACTTCTGCTGGCAGCAACTGCAAAGCGTCAGCTCCTCCAAGTCCGTTAGCACACTCGGATCCAGCATCTGGAAGCGCAACACACGCGTACAAGGCACATGCGTGCACATCTTTCCCCGTCTTTGCAATTTCATCGTATAATACACTCACGTACGCACTCACGCAAGCACACACACGAACACTTACAGCGTACTCCAAGTTCTTGCACATATCGCGCGTAAGAAACGTTACGACGAGAGTTTATCGACGGGAAAAATTGTAGAAGTGACTCGGAGACAAAATCGCAAAATGTGTGACATGTATGTAAATCTATTCGCGTACTGTGTATGTGTGTGTGTGTGTGGTCAATACGCGAATTGTGCGGACAATACCGACACTTTAAGTCCAATGTATAATAAACGGAGTTAAGGATCCTCTCGCGTGGCGAAGTTATTTTCTACGAGCAAAACCGCATCATTAATAAACCAGGAGAGCACAGGAATGTATCTATTCACGCAAAACGTAAAAGACATTACACGTTTACGAGAGAGAAAAACCCTAAAAGGTCAAGTCATCATTCATGAATGTAAACAAAACTCTCGGTAAACACACACCGTTCGCCTCTCTTCTTTCTTCTGCTGTTTTTTTTTTTTCTCTTTCCCTATCTCACATATCGCCGCGTTTTCTTCGCGCGGAATTAATTCTTTGATATCTATACGATTTTTATTTTCTCACGCACCCGCACCGTCGATTCAACACACTCGTAGACTCGTCTGCTCGGTTTGTCGCTGTTGTCCTTTCTCGTTGGACTTTCCCGATTTCAAGTACGCGCGAAACCGCGCCGCCACCGCGTCGGCCCACATTCCTTGACCCATATCGCGCTCCGTGCGTCATCGAATCATCGACGTTTTCCAGTTTAATCGACGCTACTCGCTCGCGAACGAGATCGTTTCCGATCGCGTCGTGACATTGTTTATATCCCGTATGTAACATCACTAAATTGACTGGCTCTGGCTGGCTGACTGGCTCGCCCGCCAATGTGCCAGCTCGCTTGCTCGTCTCTCCTTTTTCCAGGAAGCCTGAACACGATTCGGGGAGAATCGATACGACGCGGCGTACACGTGACGGTGGTAAACATTCGCGAGCGGACGCGCGCGGCCGTTCGATTCGCGACCGAAACGCACCGCGCGAAAAAGGCGGGAAAGCGCGACCAACTTGAACTTGTCGCGACGTATTAACCCGTTCGCGTATCGCGAAAAATGTCTCGTTCCGACTCGGAGAAATTTTCGATCCTCTAATATTTTTATTCGACAATAAAATTAGTTTTGTAATTATGTGAAATAATATATATTTGTGCGAGATATGGCGCGTAATGATAAAAATCGCGGATCAAACACGTTTAATTGCTCAAGGAGTTAAAGAAAAACAAGAGAATATATTCGCGGTTTTTTCATACTCGCGCTTCAAATGCTGAAAAAAAGGATTAATGAAAAACTGTCAAAATATTTGAGATTTCTCACCTTAAGGCCGGGTAATATTGCTCCCAACCTTAATCATTCTAGACGCTGAAAATGATTACGTAATTCTAAAACCTGATGTTAAACCTTTTCATATGATATAATTTAATTTTTTCAATTATAAATTATTATTCCATACAAGACGTACTTTTTTTTTTGTTTTTATTTGCTCGCGTTACACATCTTCAAACGTTTCCATAAAAACATAATCTGTATTGTGAAGAGTTTGACACACACACACACTTTCACTTATAATGCACGTTTAAAACACACAAGAATATAAATAAGAAATGTTGACTCTTCTCTCTTACAGAGAACACAATATCTTACTTCTGACATATTTTATTCCTCGGAGGCATAAAAAAAGTCCTCTTATTTACACACGTGCGCGCATATGAATAGGCAAATTTATTTCCACGACAGATATACCTATATGACAGGGAGGGGGACACCAAAGCGATGTCGCGCGCGTTTCCACACAAGTTCGCGCTTCTAATATTCCAAGTATCATCCATCCGGTTTTGTGCGTGCGCGTTATCCGACGCGCTTTATATATTCGCGCGAATAGATTAAGTCATTATGCAACGCGAGAAGCGTCGCGAGAAAGAGAAGTTCCAGAAAGAAAGAAAGAAAAAAAAAAAGCAACACTTTGCGACTGGCGCGCATGCGCCGAAAATCCCGCCAAAATCGTGCCGGGGGATAGCGAGTGCTCGGGATTCGCCATTAAAGCGTCGACGTTGCCACTCTCTCGCGTGACGGAGCGGAGCCGAGAGGAGAGGAGGTACAAGCCGACGGACCAGAGAACTCAGCGAAGGGGGAGGAAGGACGTATCGGGTGTCGCGGCACTTCTTCGCGACGTCGTGTGCCGCGTATTGCATGCATGCATACACAACTCATACAGACGCACCACGTATATACACATAACGAATGAATGAAAAGCGGCTGTCGCGATGCTCCGATGTACCAACAACGTGTTGTGTTGTCATCGAGCTTTTACCTGCACACCGAGTTAGCTACACCGATCGCGACTCGTGGCGAGATGTGATACTCGGGTCGAAAACCGCTCTCGAAACTACTGCGTGTCAGACAGATTCCGCGGGAATGTTGCGCGCTTCGTCTCGCTCCTTCGCCCCTCCCCCTTCCTCTGCTCTCTTCCTCGCTGTTCCGGATGCGCGTGCGCGCATTGCGATTCTCTCTCCCTTTTTCACGTATGCTCCAGCATGCCTTCTTTTTCATTTGTACTCGTCGATCTTGGTCTCTTCTTCGCACATACATACAGACGCTTCACACATGTATACAGATACACATAACGGACACAAAAAAAAATTTGCACATACATGCAGCAAGCGCATTCTCTCTCTTTCTCTCTCTCAGATTCTCTTCCACTCCCTACTCTTACTCTCCGTTTCTCTCTCCCCTCGCGTCTTTTCTCGCTTCTTCGCGGACCGTAAGATTCTGCAAATGCTTCCGTACCGTGTTCTGTTAACCGTCTTCTTGCCGCGCTATGAAGACTGATTCGTCGTTGGCACTCGTCACTCGCGGCTCGTACCGCGGCAATCCTCACTGGCGCGATGTTACGCCTAAAGCCGTGCCGATTCGGCAAGCTCTTTGATTTACATCGGGTCTGACGTCGTACAGCGCGCCGTTTTGCTCGCACCGAACAACAACCACTACTACTACTACTTCGAGCACCACACAACTACCACCGATACCAACACCGTTGGCTTGTCGTCGTCACCGTTGTCGTTATCGTTGCGTTGTCGTCGTCGTCCCCGTCGCCGCCGCTGTGGTCCTCTCAGAAGTTTCAAGCTAAAGTGTGTCTACTTTAAGTTTTTTTCTCTACTGCGTGTATAATATATGTATGCGTATTTTCCCTCTCTCGCTCTCTCTCTCTCTCTCTCTCTTTCTCACTACATATGTCGTGTGTACATATATACTTTTTGTACTTTCCGCGTTGCGTGTTTATACGTGTTTATCGAACGTCGTGAGTGTGCTGCTGTGAATAACATTACGACGGCGTTGCCGGTTAACGCGCGCGGTGTGGCTACGGCACCTCAGCTCGTGCGAACGTTTTGCCACATCATGATATTTGGTTCACTAAACTAACCACTAGCATGGCGGCGACGACCGACCGACCGACCGACCGACACACACCGCGGCGCGCGCTAGTCGCTTACGCTTTACGCGCTTCGTCGCTCTCCTTCCTTCTCCCCCTTTCCGCCTCACACCCCGCGCGCTGGTTCGGTTCTTTCCGCCTCTGTTCGTTTCCCTCTCTGTGCTCGTATACTTCTCTCGCGTTCAGCGAATAACCCGCTAAAATAGTCTCCCTCTTTTTTCGCCATTGTTGTTGTCCGTCATCGTCGTCGTCGTCGTCGTCAAAATCGTCGACCCTCCCGTTCCGCGGCACGAAACGACGTCGTTCATTCGCGCGCTCGTTACACGGTGCGCCAATCGCGTTGCGTCGTGTGGATCAATGTATAAAAACTCGCCTTTAACGCGTTGGGTGATTTGTTTTCGATGACTTTCCGTTCGAACCGATCGCGGCACTGAAACCGCGTTTGATTAAATCGGATAGACACAAAAATATTTACATACAATGTTAAAATCTTTTTTTCTTGTTTTTTTTTTTTTTTTTTTTTTTTTTTTTTTTTTTTTTTTTTGGAATTTAGTAAATATACATGTACGGAAACGAAGTCACGAGATTAGCGAGACCTTTGCCGGTGGAATATCTACTAGTGGATGTGCCCGCATCCACACCGCTTACTCCTCAGTTTAC